TTCGTAAAACTCGCTTTTCGCTAGGTTTTTAAAAGTTTATCTTAAAACAAATATTGCCACGAGACTTAGCATGATCGATTACCTATAATTCATCAGTTTTCATGACTACCAATAGTCACCACGTGCCAGTCCTGAGACTCGAAGGAAATCCGTTACTACATCCGAACCACGGAAAATCAAGATCTCGCTTAACTCCGGTTTTGAAGAGAAGACCCCGGTCTACCTGCATATGAAAAAAATCAATACAATCCTATTGAAAACCGGTTACACACAACCTGGTTTTCCAAAGGTCTCCTAGAAAACTCTTTTGAAAATTCGTTTGCTTGCGACAACATGTCCCCAAGTCTCTTCTTTCGCATGGCGAAAACCGGAGTTCTCTAGCTGCTCTGTATCAAAAGTTATTCAGAAAACAGCAATAGTTGTTATATTTTGAAACGGAAAGTGGAACCAAATTTTAACACTTATCTAACTAAACAAAATTTGTGTTCAAGACTTTCTAATTCTGTAGTTGGACAACTCTGCTTTTTATGATAATGAAAATGATTCTTTATAAATGACATATCGCAGAAGAATCTGTTTTTTGACAAAAATTTTCTTATTCCTCCTGTCCAACATTTACACTTAGTTTGATCATATGGCTTGACAACTAACGGGTGCGGCAGAATAAATGACAGTCTCAATATCTTCTCAATATCTCGCTTAGTTCTCATCCTTTCGAATTAAAGTGTTTTTTAAGATTCAGTATTCAACTCTCTACAAAACCATAGATGAATGAGTGTTATTCATATAAAAGTAAATATGTTATTGAAGAAATACTGAAAATATAAAACATCAATAACTTTCTAGCACAAATATGAAAACTAATTTTTGATTTCTTTCCACTAGTAAAATACTTACTCAAAAGCTTCAAAACACCATTTCTAGTACAATCAAATGCGCTCTTTTTAACGGTATACAGGAGAACACTTCAGTTTTTAAAATGTCGATAGAGAACCTAATTTTGTAAAAAAAAAGCCAAAAATTCGTTATATTTACTCTTCGCGCTTGAACATGGTGAATAGGAAAAAACATTTGTTCGAAACGAAGGTCCACATGTATAGTATGGATCATCAGCTTTCAAAAAAAAATGATCTCAAAAGTTTTGGCTGAATTACATGAGTTTTCCAAGAACAGAGAAAACAACGTTTTAAAAACATGTTTTTTTGGAAAAACAGGAAAAAGTAAAGTTTATTTTGAATACTAGGAGTTTGTTTTTAAAATTTTTGAATACTACATGAAGGTAGATCTTCTCAAGTTCTACAAATGTCTCATTTCATTTTTTTTTGTATCTCAACACGAGAATACGTAAAAGCAAAAAACCTGAATTTTGTGCTAGAAAGTTATTGATGTTTTATATTTTCAGTATTTCTTCAATAACCTATTTACTTTTATATGAATAACACTCATTCACCTATGGTTTTGTAGAGAGTTGAATACTGAATCTTAAAAAACACTTTAATTCGAAAGGATGAAAACTGAGGGAGATATTGAGACTGTCATTTATTCTGTCACACCCGTTATATTCTTCTACATTTATTTCCGAGTTGCAGTATTCTTACCTAAGCACCGTCAACTTGTGTAATAGCCTTGGGCAAGTTACTTATGTTTGCACACTTGAATCATTTGTCTGGTAGCATAATCACTGCGTTATGACGTAGAACAGTTTCGACTTAGCTTTCTAGAACGACCTAGTACATGGTTTGGCTGTATGGTTAAGCTGTTCGGCACGTACCCCCAAGATACTGTGTTCGAGAGTCAGCGCCACTAAACATGGAATGACCCTAGGCAAGTCATTAACGATTGTTTGCCTCGGATCATCCGTCCGATAGCATGTTGACTACGTTGTGACATACACCAGTCCTCGTGGCTAGTATGTGGTTAGTCAGTGTGCACGGGAGCTCAAGCGATTGAGCGAAAGAACTCTGAGCCAGGCTGGCCTTCTGACCAGAGCTGCAACTGATGATTAGTAAAGAGATGGATGACCAAGTCACAAGTTTGTCCACTATAGGGAAGATATCGGGTATTGACATAACAGTATCTGTCGACTGATCTTTCTGAAAAGTGGTATCGTTGTTCAAAATAAGATACTCTCTTAGAAAATGGGAGTATACTATGCTACTGTTGAGTACCATAAGATTTTCGCCTCGACTCAAAAACAAACCGTCATGCATACTTTAAGACTGCTATCAATCAATTACCGCAACGAAAATAATACAGTCAAGGTTGTTTTTGTTGAAAAAAAATTGTTTACAACTAATATCGTCAGTAATAAATGTACTTCAGATGATCGTTGAGACAACACTATGTTTTTTGCTTCAATCACTTGAAAAGCTTTACAGATATCGTTCGTTCAATTACCAAGTCTCTCTAATAGTTGTCTTTTCATTATCTTATGTAATGTCTTTATAATCAAAAAAAATGAACAAAAAAGAGCAAACAAACATATATCTAAATACGTTGATGTTTTCTTAAAGAGAAATGCACAAAATTTCTGTAATAATACGTTTTTTAAATCTTTTCTTTCAAACAAAAAAAACAAAAACGAGGAAAAATATGTGTATGTGTGCGTTCGTGAACATTAAATAAAAAACGGTCTCTTGCTCTCTCATTCGATAGATATAAAACAATACAAAGAAAAACAATCGAAAAAAAGCATACGCACATAGAAGCTTTCGGCTTTTCTGTGTTTCTAAGTCATTTTCAATTTTTGATCAAGACAAAAAAAGAAAGATACAGCACACGAAAAACTAGAAAAACAAACAAACAAAAAAAAAAACACGTTCAGAGATCTTGTATATCAAGAGGATATCTTCCAACTGTTCATCCATTTATCGTTGCTGATACCAAATAGTTATGATTGTTGTTGATACTGTTGTTGATTTTGAGAAGCTACTCCTGTTGGACGTGGTTGTTGTTGCTGATGTTCATTATAACTGCTGTATTGTTGTTTATCATAGCCGCCACGATAATTATTTCCTCCACGAGAATAATTTCCACCGCCACGACCTAATAATATAATAAAAAACATTTTTATGTGTTTTATTAAGATATGATGTTTATCCCAGATGTGTTAGGAAAAGACATATCTTGTTAATAATTGGTGCTTGATAGGGAATTACACGGATGATCTTAACAGGATACAGTGTGAAGACTATAACAGTTTAGTTTTTAATCTGCTGGATACTGAAATCTCAGTTCAAGACTCTATTCTAGACTCAAAAGATAGAAACATTTTTGCTCAACAAAATCATGTATACAAAATATCAACATACTGGTACTATATCTAAAAAAACTGTGTTTAATAACAGCAGGTAAAAAGTAATAATGCGATTTGTCGTCAAAAGTTTAGTATTTTCTCCTTAGTTCAGACTACTTTCTTATATCGATACAGAAAATATGACAATAGTAGCTATATAAATTTTTGTAATGAAATTATTCATATTACTATCTCAATATTACTATCTCTGGAAAAAATTTTCAAATTGTTATACGAGGGTGAAAAGACTATCGAAAGACTTCATTTTTTCTACGCTACTAGTTAAAAGGATTTGTTTCCAGGCAATTGATTCTTACCTCCTCGATATGGTCTGCCGCGAGTATCACCGCTCGAATATCCTCTGCCTCCTTGATTATAATCGCCACTAGAATATGGACCTAATTTAGAAAAGAACAAAATAAAATAGTTTTTAAATAATTTAGTTCAGCTTTCCATCCTCTAATTTTTTACATACGTTGTTGTTGTTGGCCAGCATATGGACGACGTCCACCGCCAGCTGAACGTTGTCCATTGAGACTGCGACCGCGACCATTACTTCGTTGGCCTCCTAAAGGAAGTAATAAACAATAGTCAAGTTTCATTACAAAGTTCACTCAGTTAATCTGTTTGATTACTTATAAGAAATGAAATGATTTTAAGACGAAACGATGAAGTATTTGCGATGCTCATTTCACTTCCTCAAATTCCTTTTATTCTAGATGGTTTGTAAAGAATGGCACTCTCTAGGAAAAATACTATATACTCTGTCTTACTTTTCCTTCAAATCTCCACTGCAATCGTTGCAATCTTACCGAATTTCACCAGACCCTTAACCTCATTTGGCTATTTGATTTATAAAACTGTATAACTTACTGTTTCCACTTTGTTGCCATTGTTCATCATTTGGGCCGTCATTACTAGTGGTAATATTATCCATTGTTGATTGTTGATGGTGTTGTTGCTGATTAGCATTACCATAGTGTTGCTGCTGAATCACATTTTCCTAGAAAAAATCCGAGATATGAACAAAAATAATGTTATCAAACAGCACTTCAACCACTGTCCAGTATTTTAATGAAGTATGTGCAATACGAATGAAATACTGAAGGCATTATTTTACCTGATCGATATTAACATTATTTCCTGGATTTGCATTCCATTTTTGTGTTTGAGCTGAATCAGCATACGTCTGGGGCGGTACAACTTGTTGAGGATTCTAAATAAGCAAAAATAAAAATATTCAAAACAGATGTCTTATTAAAAAAACAAGTCGTTTTGAGTATGTCGACAAAGATTTCTAATTAACTCTAACTATAAGCTATTAGAGTTTAAATAGATTTCAGTCAACCAGTGCGACAGAACTATCGTAGTGTTGGATCATTTAGTTTATAAACTATTTTCAAATTACTAAGTCATGTTGTGACGTAAGTTTACAGAGAATTTGACTAAAACAAACACAGACAGCAGCGATTTATTAACAAAGTTTTGCATAGGGAATAATCGTTGTAGCCAAAGTACGTTTTGGCTTCAGTATCGTCTATCTTTCTTCTCAATCAAATATTATTTCAGTAAACAGCTGCTCATGTCTTGTAGCAAATGAGCTAAATTCTTTTATGTACGTACTTGTCCATAAACATCTCGTTTATTTGCTAAATCTAAAAGTAACAAAGTGAATAAATATTCTTAGAAATGTAATGATCAAATTAGAGAAGTTATACACGTACTTGAATTTTCGACAACTAACGATGGGATATGTTGACCGGTAAATAAAGGTGTTTGTTGTTGCGTTTCATGATTTTTTATTGATGAAGAATCAATTAATTCTTGTTGCTGACCATAATTATTCGTCGTATCTTGTAAGCCTAAATGGTCAAATGTAAGTGATTACATTTCATGTCTTAGTGATTAATTATTTTAGCTTTTTAATTCAATAATTAATATTTCTGGCTGAACTTCAGTTATAATATCAGTTATGTGTTTGAATTCTGTCATACCTAGAAAGCTAATTGGAGCATTGTTAATAATATCTGCAATGGGTGGTTGCTGTTGACGTGTATCCATTCGAATAATTTCAGTATGTATTAAATTTTGATTATTCGAAGGTTTGTGCGACATTGAATTAACATTTGTTGGATTTGTGTAGGTTAATGAAGTCGATGAAGGTTGTTGCATTTGAGCAGATGGTGTCACATTGCTATTATTCGCATACATGGGCGCTGAATAAAAAAACAAATTTAAGATACATATAAGTCAATTACAGATTTATTAGGGTACGCTCACTGTTTAACATAATGTTTTTAATGAACATGCTTACGGAGAAATCAAAGCAATTTCAAAGAAAAAAGGTGAATATATATGAATGTGAAACTCGACTTAAGAATAATTATATTTAGTAATTTTACAACCACTTTCTAGTTACTAGAGAACTCAGACAGAATTCATTTCTAAATGAATCAAAAGAAGATACCATGACCGGTTTCGGCCTTTCTTCTTTTGATTCTTTCAGAAATGAATTCTGTCTGAGTTCTCTAGTAACTAGAAAGTGGTTGTAAAATTACTAAATATAAAGGTGAATATCTTTCACGTTAAACTTGAACGTTTAGATTAATCAAATTAACACATAATTATGTGTAAAATATTTTTTCAAATAACACAACAAACTCAGGAATTTAAATGGTCATCATGACAAATATTTTGTTCTGACCCGAAAGATGAACATCATTGTTTGTTAGTATCAATCATCTGGTATAAATATGGAAAAGAAAACTGCGAAGTATATTTATGTTGTTTACAATGGTAATAAAATGCACTTACAGTCATTAGCACTTTGTTGTTGAAGATTCTGTCTTGACTGTCGTTGTGGTAATACCGTAGCCGGTGTCGGTGGTGGAGGCGGCGCGATTGTTGGTGTGGATTTGACTTCATGTATCATTTTAGGTACAGCAGTAGCTGTTTCCGATGGTACCACAGGTGTTGTAGGAGTAGGTATGTATTCTTGTTCTAATGGTGTTTGTTGCTCTTGGATTGAAATCGATTTTTGCTGAGGTGGTGTTCCACCAAAGATTTGTGAGTATTTTGTAGTATATTGTTCAATAAATTCTTTTAATTCTCCACACGTTTTTCCTTGAATGCCTGATGTTTTTTTTGGATTTCCATCATAAATATTTAGAAATTGTTCAATACAACGAGAAAGTTGTTTATCCATAGGTTGAGATAAATCGCCCGCTGTTTGCGGTACAACAGCTTTATATAATTCATCAAATATAGCCACATCATCTAGTTTGAGACTCTACAATGGAGATGAGCAAAAAAAATATTAATAGACACATTTAGTTACTGATGTAAAAAGAAACAATCATTGGCTGAAACGGCGATAAGGTGAAATGAAGTAAATGAGCGACGTCGGTACTATCGTCATTAAAATTCTGATATCTATTTCTAATTAAACACATATGCATGGTTCGCGATTGTTTTTCATAGTGGGAGGGACAAAATTTTGGCAGAAAATGAGATATTTAAGCAAAAGGGTTATTGAAAAATACGTGGTGTCTAATTTTAATCAGTGCTCTCTGCACCAACCATAAACTTAATATGACGGCACAAACAAGCTAAAACTCTTATCTTATCAGTCTGTGTCAATATTTCGTCACACGAGATTTAAAAGTTCCGTAGAAAGTTCTTCGTAAAAATTTTCCAGAAAGCGGAAGAGAGATCGCCACCCTAATCGAGGAGCACACACATATGTAAATGTTCGCTTTATTTTAATAGTATTCTCTCATCTTATTTCTGTTAAACAGGCACAATACTTACTGTTTATTCTAGAAACAGTTTGAAAATACTACCTTTTGCTCTTAGATAAACTATGATACTTACTATTCCCATCGTTTCTAATTTTTTTCGACTTTGTTCATTTCTAATATCCTCCATAATCACTCTTAATTGAGTGTATTCACGTAAACGTTGACTAACATGACTACGTTTTTCATCTTGTAATTGTTTCTGTGTACGCTTCTGTAATTTGCCAGACTAAAATAAAACGAAATCTTAAAATATTATTAATTTGAACTTTAAAGAAGAACAATTGATTGCACTGTTGACCGTTTCTCAGAAAATAATATCATTGCTTGTTGATATATTAACAGTAATGCGATTGATCTACGTTTAATGGTATTCTTAATGGAAAGCAGAGAACACATTCTGCCTATAAAACGTCAAAACTACTACCTCAAGCTCCCACACGTTATCTTAGTATATATCAGTACCCGACGGAGCTATAGAATCCAAAGTTTTCGATATATCGGGTCGGTAAATCGAATGTTTTTCATTTAGCCACCCGATCTTAAGATTATTTCCTAAAAGAGATATTGATATACATATTCGGACAGCCAATGAAGTGAAGATTTTACGAGAGGGTCCTCTATAAACTACTACGCTTTCAATGGAATCCATCCACTTGATTTCTTTTTGTAAAATAGGTTTTCTCCTTTTAAAAACTAGAATGCTTTTCAATTGTCACTTTGAAAACGCATTCAGTTTTTAACGATCAATTTGTTTTATATCTTACTTCTTGTTGCAATTTTTTAAGTTGTTCATATGTTTCTTTTGCGCATTCAATTTGTCCAATAACTTCTCCATATTTTGCAAGTGCATCCTAAATACGCATACAAGGAAAATTTTTTGATTTTCGAATCTTCCAAACAAAACGGGTTCCTTCAGTTAAAATACACCTTTTTTTCAAATTGTAATAAATCTCTCAGACAGTCATTGCTCTTTGTGTTTTTAATCGAAGAACTATGACAGAACAAACTTTCGACTTTTAACAGACTTATTTGAAGCTCTCTACCTTTTGATCTTTATTTAATTCTTTTCCACTTTTTGCTTCTTGTTCATAACTTTCCAATTTATCCTAAAATTAACAAAGAGATGAGTAGATTTACTAAATTCTTCCAATAACGATGTAATATACCTTTCGTTTCACGAGATTTCGTTGTTTTTTCTCGAGCATCAAGACTGCCTGTGTTAATGGATCATTACTCTCTTGTGTAATCATTGATGTTTTATCAATTGAAGCAGAAGCAGCAGAAGCAGAAGCTGATTGAGTTTGTTGTTTATCTTGTTGTTTTAATCCTGTATTTTCCATACCATTCATTTTGCTAGTTGTTATTGATGAGTTGATATCCGCCGTTGACACTGACGGCATTCCACAGAAAAAGTGGATATATTTATTCAAAATAAGATAAAGAAATAAGATGTTAGATTAAACACATAACGTATAGGTCGGAAAAAGATGATGACTGAAGTTGAAACTGACTAATGAATATATCTGTTTTTTAAAAGTTCATTTAGAAGAAAAGAAAATGGAAAAGGAAATAAATCTTTAAATACGCAGAATCAATCCAGAGAATCCAGGGAAAAAAATACATAAACACAACAAATGATGGATGACCAATTCAAAAAGACCATGTACAAACCTCCTTTCAAGGACAGGAAAGAGATGGAAGATGTAACAATTACACTGCATAAGACTCGATAAAAAACAAAGCTTTTTTCATCAGATTCGTTTACCTCTTTCGCGTGTAGGGTTGAAAGAGGTCGCTCGAGAGGAGGTAAGCAGGTGAAAATGCAAGTTTTCTTTAAGCCACCCTCTAAGAAATCTATAAACTTTCCGTAAATGTTACTCATATTACACTTAGATTACAGTAAAATTTTAAGTTTTGAATATCACGTTTTCCGATAGTTATTCATATAATAAAACAACGGTTAAACAGTAGGGGTCTGCATTTCGTACATTTCTCTGCCACTTTAAGTGCTAAAATTCTCGATTTAGCCTCAACATGGAGCTAAGAGTTAGCACTACAACCTGACCGAGCCGGATTTTGGGTTTTCCACTTAATTTCTGAGAAAAGTAAAGAACTTAATAATAAAAACTTAATAATAACTCTAAAAAAATATCTAAGTTTTCAAAATTCCTTATTCTTTTCGGAAACCAAGCCAAGATCCAAAGTCCGATTCTGCTAAACTGTAGTGCCCATTCTTGGCTACATTTTGAAACTAAATCGAGAATTTTAGCACTTAAAGTGGCAGAGAAAAGCTTGAAAGTGCAGGCAGACTCCTACTTTTTAAACAACCGATTTTGAGAAACTGTGCATTTGTTGGTGCATTTTAGGGCTTTTGGGAAAATGTAACTTTTCAATGGAAGGTTCCACAAAGTTGTGCTACATTTTGAACAGAAAAGTTTGCTGTATAAATGTACGTGTTCAGAAAGTAATTTAATTGCACAAATATCGAGGAAAAAACTCGTATTAGAGTATCTTGTTTTTCGAGGTTTCCAAAACAGTTTCTCTAAAACCATGAAAAATCACCTTAAGTATTTGCAAAATAATTTAGTCTTATGATGGTGCTCACGTTGGAGTAATCGAATAAACATTTCTATTCGCAATATTCAAACGATAACGTATATTTAATTTAGTTTTATTTATAGTTTATTCTGGCAAAAACAGAACAAAATAATAGCAAAAACGATTTGCCCAGAGAGTAAAAATGACTCTAAGAACACTTACAAACTCTACTACCGTAAAGGTAATATTGCCTAAAAAGTAACAAGAAGAATAAATAGGAAAAAGAAATGAAGAACAAGTACAAATCTCTACGTGGCTAACCAGCTGCTAAGTTTTTGCTTGATTTGTTTAGCAACAGTTTAGTCGATCCGAGTGCTGATGCATTACAGATAGAAGAAAGTCAGCGTTAGAGAGGAGAGACATATTATGTAAAATTTGACTTGCATAATGAAGTAATCTCGCAAAATATCAAGGCCTTTTAGAGTGGTCTCACAACACTGTTGTAAGGCACCGGTATCCTGTTTTGTCTACCAATTTCGGTTTTCTAGTCTACATATTAATTTTCGGACAGCAGATTGTATAGCGAACATTATCCAAAATGAGACGGTCGAGATTAAGGAAACTTTTCCCAGAAAACGATTTTTTGTGCTGATTATTATAATAAAGTTGAAATATTATCATAGTTATTCTCTATTATTACGGCCCAGCGTTAGTCTTTGATGTTGCAGAACCAGAACAATTGTACTCAGAGTTACCCTAGTCGAGACTCCCGGCCAAAGTCTCGCGAGAGTCCCACGGGGTCTCATTGGGAGTTCCGCGGGACTTTTTGATAAACTGCCGCGAGAGTCCCAGCAGGATCCCGTGGCGAGAGTCCCTATAAAATCTTCGCTACGAAAAATCGTGGACTGCTCGGAAACGTCTCAAATTAAATTTTCAACTCTTTTCTGCATTTTGAGATCTCTTGAGACTCTAGAAAATCTATTCTCAAAAAGTTATGATTAAAACGCCGCTAGCTATATTTCGATTTATTTTTTGGAAAAGTGAATCTCGCCGTTTTAATCATAACTTTTTGAGGTTACATTTTCTAGAGTTCGAAGAGATCTCAAAATGCAGAAAAGAGTTGAATATTTAATTTAAGACGTTTCCGAGCTGTCTATGATTCCACTATGTTTTACTCGGACTTTTCTTCGAGAACATAGTGC